AGTGTGGATTGTGACTGCTTTAGACCCCGTGTGATAAGGTCCTTTGTCCCTATGAACTGTGCTCAACTGAAGTCAATTGGTTCTGGTTTCCAGTGACAATCCATTCACACTTACCTTGGGAATAAAGCTAATTCTAGTAAATTTGCACTGGATTAGGCTAAAAGATACACTGAATTACCTAGAGCAAAAACACTTGCTCATGTTTGGCCCATATTTTCTGTATTAAGTCTTTAAAATCTTCAGTCACTGTGAGAGGTCCGATATGATACTCACTCTGTTGGGTGGCATCTCCTTTCACGGGTGGCTTTGTCTGAGCAGGAATAAAAATGAGGACAATTGCAGCACACAGAAGGCATCCAGTGAGGGCAACATAGCAAGGAAAGTAAACTCTGTACACAGAGGGGAAAGGTAAAAATAATTGTATGAGTATACAATAAAGTGCTTTATTTTTGAGACAAAGAGATTGCGTACATATAAAATTCATTGATTTAAATTTTTATTCAATAGGATAATGGGCATTTAAATCACCTGTTTATATGGGTAGCTAAGACTACAGTCTTACTTGACAGTGAGACCCATTGAATTCAATGGGCCTTATTTTTGATAAACATATATAAATTGTACTAAAATATAGCTTCCCAAGTTCCCAGTCCTAAGTGATAAAGATGAAGGATATTTCCTGACCATAAAAACCACACCCTCACATCTTATTTGATTATGGCCACATCCAGCTATGGTAAGTCTGCTGGGAGTTGCAGTTCAACAATATCTCGAGGACTGTGCAATTCTCACCTCAAATTACAAGAAAATATATTACACCTAAACATTGGGAAGAATTTATAGATTGTAAGAACTGTTCAAGAGTGGAAGAGACTGCCTTGAAAGATGGTGGACTCTCCTCCTTGGAGGTCTTTAAACGGAGGTTGGATGGGCATTTTTCAGAAGTGCTATACTGTATATTCCTACATGGCAGGAGGTTGGAGTGGATGGCCCTTTCAGACTAAGATGCTAGGTTTTTTAATAAACTACCTTTAATTAATATGAGTTCACATATAGCATGTTTTCCACCATTCTTGTTTTATGATAGTCTGTCTGTTGGCTACATACCTTCTTTAAAATGGAAAATGGAAACATTAGGGACGTTCAGTTGGAATTTTTCCCTCTTGATTTTGGGTGTTTCGTGGGTGGTCTAGCATGCATATCTTTTGTGCTGGCAACTATAGATTTTTACGAGTAAATTAAAACACTATTCAAATACCATAAATGCTGTGCTTCAATAAAATGCATCAATGTATTTTTAAAGACAGTGGTTTCACCCCCCTAAAAAGAGTGAGATTACAAGCACCCATACTGTGGATACTTGGTATCTGCTGGGGTTTAATTCCAGAACTCCCCATGGATACCCCAATCTGTGGATGTGCAAGTCTTCAATGGCACAGTAAAATTGTGCCCCTTATATAAAATGACAACATCAAGGCAAATGACAAACATCAAGGGGAGGAGAATATTTTCAAGCTGCATGGATACGGAAGGCTGACTGTATGTTTTGTAAAGCATGGTTTTATGATGGTTTACACAAAACAGGTTCATTTCCTAATTATTGCTATGGTTTTGCCCATCAAGTTGACATAACAAATTGTGTCATGCAATAACTAAGCCATGCCCTTTACACAGTAGACTGAATTCAGAAGGTCCCCACCAGATAAAGGAAGCTCTTGATTCTCATCAAGATGCTTTACTGTGCTTTTTACTGCTAAAACCTCAAAACAAGACAATCAAGTTTTACAATGTGTACAAAGCCCTTCAAAAGACAAAATATGCATAAGCACTGCTGGAGACTTGAACAGACTAGAGTGACTATCTGATTATTATCTGCTAATTAGATTAACCTCCAAAAACAGCCTCAAGCAAACTGAGATATTTCAATAAATGGCATTTTTCCAAGATGTGTCAACCCAATCTATCTTTTTGTTGTGTGCCTTCAAGTCATTTTCAATTTATGGTGTCCCCAAGACCCTATCATGGGGTTTTCTTGGCAAGATTTATTCAAAGGAGGTTTTCCCATTGTTATCTTAAATTTCAAATTTAATTTCATTCCTAACACTTCCAGATCTAAACAAGAGATTTTATCAATTTTACTTGCTGCTGTTACATTTTTTTAAAAAAAGGCAGATTACCATTTTCAAATTCATGTTATGTATTTTCTTTTCAGGATTTTACATAGCTGGTAATCTGAAATAATAGTAGGAATGTGACTAACAGCAGCAATAGAAGGAGAGGCTCTTCTACACAGTCATACTCTTGAGAGTCATATATAAGCTGGCATCCTATTAGTGATGTATACAAAAATACGTAAAATATAGTGTGATGCATCTGCTAAAAAAGTCAATTTGATATTAGGTTGCATCATTACAAGTATAAAGTTAGATGGAGGAAAGTAGTAGTGCCACTCTGTTCTGCTTTGGTCAGACCTCACTTGGAATACTATGTCCTGTTCTGGGCATCACAGTTCAAGAGGGATATTGACAAGCTGAAGTGTGTTTAGAAGAGGGCAACCAAAATGGTGAAAGGTCTGGAAACCATGCCTATGAGGAACGGCTTAGAGAACTGGATATATTTAGCCTAGGGAAGAGAAGGTTAAGAGGTGACATGACAGCCATGTTTAAATATTGAAGATGGACCTAGATTGTCCTCTGCTGTTCCAAAAACTAAGATATAGAGCAATGGATTCAAATTATGGTGGGCTCTTGGTATCCACTGGGGTTTGGTTTGGCCCCACGGATGCCGAAATCTGTGGATAGTCCAGTCTGATTAAATATAATGATATAGTAAAATGGTGGCTCATTTTATGCAGTAGCTCAGTTGTTATGACATAGGACATTATCACACGTGGGCCAGAAA